GGGTTTTGGGGATTCGGGATTCCCCTAGAATGACTTCTCGCCGTTTTTTGTCATTGTTTACACTGATCCCCTAACCACGCGACATGAGTGGGTGGGCAGTCACCTGCGGCATTCTACTGACGGCCTTATTTGTGTTAATCCGCTTTTATCCATCAGGTCAATGGCACCCCTGATTCGCATTAATGCCGGCATTGTGGCAGATCACTGGCACCTTAGGTGACGCGATTGACACTCTCTGCACGAGCTGTGGTGTGGTTCTAGCACTGGCGTACAGAAAATATTTCATGTCAAACGCTGTATTCCATATTTCTAATTCCGAGGTCTAAGCCGATAAAATTCCAACTCACCACTGGTGTCTCAGTATCTGCCTAAATCCTTATTAATTTCTTTGTTAAGGCACTTTTTTGCTGTATATGCATTTAATTATGCTGTTATAAATCTGATCATTATTATTCTAGGGCAGCTGCAAAATTAACCAGGAGAAATTTGGCTGAAGCTCTCCGCAGCAGAACTCCGTACAATGTTAATTTGCCACTCGCTGGTTACGACCCGAAGGACGGACCTTAGTTGTACTGTATGTTTATATGACTTCCATGATTAATGTAACGTATGCTGTACATGGGCATGGCGTTTTCGTTACTCTTAAAATTTCGGATAGCCATTACGATCCTTTGTTGAGCGCCGACAGTGTCTTGAAAAAACGATTTGTTGTTAACAACGATCAATTCTCTGTTCGCGTCGTGAAAAAGGAAAGAATCCAACACCTGTCCGACCTGGTTTAATTTGTCAGTTTCCCCATAATAAAGTGTTTTTCAATGTGAAGTGCCTTGTAAGTATAGTGGTACTTTGATATTTGCAAAGGGTGCCCTTATGTGGTTTTGCATGACTCGTTGTCGGTGTAAAATCTCCAAGTCGCGTTTGTCGCTTTATCTGCGAAAATGGTCTCAGTACATAGTTTGGGATGAAGAATTGTTTTAGTCTTGTGTCTAGAATTATCGTTGCCTTAATTTCCTATACGATCATTTTTTGATCTAATGTTTCCCCACATTCGCTAAGTTGTACCAATATTTCACAAATCTGATGTAGTGTGTTTCAATTGGCAAGGCCTCAGTATGCCTTAGTTCGTATTTCTTTACTGCCCCGAAAATGTACCTCGCATTTGTGATGCTACCTTGTATCGCTTTAATCTTATTGACAATTTGTGCTTAATTTACTGCTCTCTAGCGAGGCATGTGTTTAGCTTCGTTAGTTTGCCACTGTGCAGACTGAATCGGTGTTCATACACGTCAATTTTGCGCCATTTTTAGACTTCCATTGGTTCAAGTCAGTGTTTAAATATGTTATTGAACTAAAACTATTAGTACTTTGGCCGTTCCTTCCATTAGCGCTATTGGGGTTACGTATTTACGGGTGTCCTGCTACGCTAGTCTTTGTTCTCGTATGTCTATACCTCGGTTTACTTGCTGTTTTAATGATGATGAAAGTGCTCATGCTGCGATACTATTACTCTCCGACTTCTGGATGCAACGAATACCCAAATACAGTGAAATTTGTGAATAATAGGTAACTTGATCACCATTAGTTACCTGCGTATAGTTGTCAGTTGTTAATTTGCTCAACTAAAACGCCTCAACTTTGTGGAGATTTGGCTCCTAGGCTAAATTTCGATTTGGACCACGCAGAAACGGAGGGGTGTCCGATCGTTAGTAAATTATTGCGACGGCATTTAAAAAAATCGCTTTTGTTACGGCTGGGTGCTTGAGGGTTGCGTTGACAGGATTTTATCGCACCTTTGAAAGGTCTATATTACTAGTT